CCAGTAAGCAAAACTACGAGCAATTGACTTCATTCGGCTGGTACCAGGATGAGCCGCATGAAACTGGCGTAGTACAGTGGGTCGGAGGGAAGATGGGATCACCACACGGTCCGCAAACATGAGGCAGGAGTCAACCACAGATAGCGATGCTCGGCGGAGGAAGAGCTGACGAAGATCAGTAGCGAGAGCAATGGTTGGCCAGCAGGTCTGCACGTAGGTGATGGCCTGACGGAGGACAGGATCCTGTTCAGTAGCATGCCGGATGTCCGCGGCAGTGGCAGGGATACTTCGTATGGCGTCTGATAACTGACGGTGCACATCGTCGTCAATCGAAATAGGGGCAATCACGGTATCTTCCTCCGGTTCCTGCTGATTGCTGATGAGGCGAGAAAGGGCGTCAGCCTGACCAAAGTCTGTAGTACGACAGTAGCGAATGCCAGAGTCGTAACCAAGAAGGATGGTTGCCCATCGCTGAAGTTGGCTGGCTGAGTAGACGGGAATGCCCTTCTTCGAACCGATGATTGACAGCAATGGTTTTTCATCCGTCAACAACGTGAAGTGGCGACCGTACAACAGTTTGCGAAATTTCTTGACGGCAAACACGAGGGCCAGAGCTTCTTTCTCTATTTGCTCATAGTTCTTCTCCGCAGTGGTTAGCGTGCGAGATACATGCATGATCGCCTTTTCAGACCCATCAGGAAAAGTATGTGAGATGACGGCACCAACTCCGTGATTGGAAGCATCTGCAGCAACAACGATCGGCAGCGTCGGGTCGTAGTGCGTGAGCAGCAGATCTGAACTCAGCACCGACTTTAGCTGGGCAAAGGCCTTTTCACAGTTGGGGGACCAGCACCAAGGAGCATCCTTCTGCAACAGACGGTTGAGCGGAGACCGTACGTCATGCAGCGATGGTAGGAAGGCGCTATAGTAACTGATCAGGCCAAGGAACGAACGAAGTTACGATACATTCTTGGGTGCTGGCATCCGTTGGATGGCCCGAACGTTTTAAGGATCTGGATGGCGACCAGTGACGTCAAAAACGAATCCAAGGTACTTGATGGAGTCGAGGATGAATTGGCACTTGCCGGCTCCTCTCGAATGTACTTCCCGAAGGGCATTGGGCCGAACGCCGACGAAGCACAGTAGGGCGTTGTAAATATGCTTTACTTCCAGTTAATTTTGACTTGCAATTTCCTAATACACATTTTCGTGGCCGGTCGCGTTCTCCTTCTCTGTCGCGTTGGTATTGGGAACAAGGGTCGAGTGAGCATACGCTCCACAGGATTTCAAGTACCAGGCCGGGTCATAACAAATTGGCGACGAAGTTTTTCAACTAAAATGGCTGACGAGTACGCCGACTTGAAGCAAATGTTGCAGCAGCAGCTGAAGCTGGTGGAGGCTCTGACCGTCAAGCTATCCAATTCGTCTATGGGCCAATCAAGCGCGGTGCTGGTGGCGGTGGCTGGTGGTTTGCATTCTGTCGATCACATTGCCAGCAGCATCACTGAATTCTTTTATGACCCGCAGGCCCATATCAACTTCGATTCCTGGTACAAACGATACGAGGACTTGTTCTCTGTCGATCTGGCTGCCAAGGACGATGCATGAAAGGTTCGACTTCTACTTCGCAAACTGGGTCCGGCTGAACATGAGCGTTATGCCAACTTCATCCTCCCCAAGATTCCCCGAGATGTCACTTTCCAGGACACTGTTCAGACGTTGTCGCAGATTTTTGGTGAGCAATCATCTCTTTTCAACACTCGATTTCAGTGCTTGCAACTGTGCAAACGAGATTCCGATGATTTCATCACGTATGCGGTCATTGTCAATCGTGAGTGTGGGCGTTTCCAACTCGGTTCTCTCACTGAAGACCAGCTTAAATGCCTTTTATTTATCTGCGGCCTCCAGTCGTCCAAGGACACTGATATCCGGACACGTCTCCTGTCTATAGTGCAGCAGAACAACTCTATCACACTCCAAGAGCTGGCAGCAGAGTGTCAAACGCTGATCAACCTCAAGCACGACTCTGCAATGATTCAGAACTCTGCCTCATCTTTCTCAGTCCATTCGGTCACATCGACCAAATCGCGGCCCAAGCAAGTGTCCAAGGCGAGATCGACGTCATCCGCTTGTCAGCACCGTGGCTCGTGGCATGTACACCTGGATTACACATTCAGCCAGCATCGTTGCCAAAGCTGTAATCAGGTGGGACACCGTGGTGGGTTCTGCAAATCAACACTAGCTTCTGGATGCAAGCCAGCCCCCGCCATTCCTACTTCCAGGCACCGTTTCCGGCCAAAATGCAAGTCCAAAATCCAATCCGTCTGTAATTCCCTGAGTCTCTTGGCCGCTTTCCAGCTCAATGCGTCTGGTGGTAGAAAATTTGTTGACGTTTTGCTCAATGGCCATGCAGTTCGACTACAGTTGGACACTGCCTCTGATATCACCATCATCTCTGAGAGACTCTTGCAGTCCCTTGACAGCCCAACGATGCAGCAGACTTCCCAGTCCGCCACAAGCGCGTGCGGTGGTCTTGTACAGCTAATTGGGCAACTGCAATGCTGTGTGTCGCTCCGCGGTACCAGCATCACTGCGATCTGCTACATCACCAAGTCTGACCTCAACCTACTTGGTCTTGACTGGAATGAACAACTTCGATTGACCGATATGCCGCTCCGCGTTGTGTGCAGTCAGGTGCAGATTCCTACTGTGCTTGCAGATCAAGCCGTGTCTCGAGGGTTCAGACCGCCGACAGGCTCATTTGTATAATATGGGTCTCCTACTGTATATTTCACTATCTCCTCTACGGCACCTGGCCCTGGAAATGTAGTAGTTGGGGTGTGTCCGTTATCCTGGCTGTTATAAAATCAAAAATAACCAGAGTGAAGCGAGGGTGACATCCGCAAACTGGAACGCGTCCTCTCAGCGGAGCACGAGCTTGTAGCTGAACAAGTAAACCGCGTCTTTTGAATTCGGTTTGAAATTTTCGACCTCCGAGGGATTTAACTTTTTCGAGTCTCCTGAGTCCTGGACACCCTGACGGCCTCTCGGAATTTACAAGTCGATTCTTCATAGCAATATCTCGATTCTCACAGA